CTAAAGTAATAAAAGTGAGATAGAAATTACATATAGAGGTAGAGATGATAGATAGATAGATAGGTAGGTAGTGGGTGGGTGGGTGGGTGGGTGGGTGGGTGGGTGGATGGATGGATGGATGGATAGATAGATAGATAGATAGATAGATAGATAATGGATGGATAGATAGGGATGGATTAGATAGATAGATAGATAGATAGATAGATAGATAGATAGATAGATAGATAGATAGATAATGGATGGATGGATAGATAGGGATGGATTAGATAGATAGATAGATAGATAGATAGATAGATAGATAGATAGATAGATAATGGATGGATGGATAGATAGGGATGGATTAGATAGATAGATAGATAGATAGATAGATAATAGATGGACGGATAGATAGGGATGGATGGATTAGATAGATAGATAGATAGATAGATAGATAGATAGATAGATAGATAGATAGATAGATAGATAGATAGATAGATAGATAGATAATGGTTAGATGGAGGGATAGATGGAGGGATAGGGATGGATAGCTGGATAGATGGATGGAGATGGATAGATATAGATATATAGGTGGATAGATAAACGGATGGGTAGAGATAGATAATGGATAGATGGAGGGATAGGGATGGATAGCTGGATGGAGGGATAGATAGAGATGGATAGATATAGATATATAGGTGGATAGATAAACGGATGGGTAGAGATAGATAATGGATAGATGGAGCGATAGGGATGGATAGCTGGATGGATGGATGGAGGGATAGATAGAGATGGATAGATACAGATGTATAGGTGGATAGATAAATGGATGGGTAGAGATAGAGATGGATAAATGGATGGGTAGAGACAGATAGTTGTATGGATAGATATAAATAGAGGGATGGATAGATGATAGATAGATAGATAGATAGATAGATAGATAGATAGATAGATAGAGATAGAGAGATAAATGGAGATCCTTTTTTACTTCGACCAAAACTGCTCCACAGCCCTTCAGCCCATCTTGGGTGCTTTCAGAAGCTCCTGCCCTTTCCTCCCATCTCCCGCCATCTTGCGGGGGACACCAAAAAGAAAAAGGGGGTCCCCAGCCCTCCAGCCTCTCTGTCCGTCCACTAAACCTCTATGCTCCAGTGGGCTGAGAAAACGGGGGGGGGGGGGGGGGAAGAGGCCGGTCTTTGCTGCCCCACTAAAAAACCTCTCAAAGGGACGACCGAAAGAGCCTAGCCCCACACCAGCCTGCAGTCTAGCCCCCCCCTCTCTCTATCCCTCGTTTTATTCCATTTTATTTTTTTTCCTCCAGGAGAACAATGTCCGCGCTTCCCTCCCTCTTCAGTGCACGCAAGAGGAATTTGACCACCGAGACACCGAGTGAGTCATTTTGCTGCTAAAATCCACCTTTGCTGCAGTTGGTGTGTGTGTGGGGGGTGTAGTCTGAATTTAAAAATCTTTTTTTGAGAGAAGCCCACATTTTGAACTTAAAGCTGCCTGCGGCTGTGTAATGTTGTATTTTGCTGCTTTGGTCTGTAGGATGTTTAATCATCGGTTGGCATTTTAAAATAAGCTGTCAACATCCAGCTTGAGGATCCAAATAAAACTCCAAGTTCGTTCCGTTTCTGACAATCTTACTGTTTATTGGATACTCTAGATGGTTAGGTCGAAGTAAAATTAACTCTGAGGTCCCCAAACCAATTCATAGACTTAAAACAATAATTTTCCCAGCCATATCAACAAGTTTCACTTTGTTATGGGAACCGTCCGCTTCAAATCTACACCTGTCCTGGTGTCCTTGAAAAGGATTCAGGCTCTCGTGGTCTTCAGCTGAATTGTAGAAGTTTCGTTTCTCCATCTAACCCACTTGAAAGTAACACCTCCCCCCCCCCTTAATCTAAAGGCAAGTTGAAACGCTGAGACTGATAGCTGCCAAATTTCATCCTTGACATCCTAACTGTGAAATGGGGGGAAAAGCCGCCGTTTCACACTTTCTGATTTTTGCAAAGGCACGTCAACGTGGTCGCACGAGGTTAAAAAAAACAACCAGATGCTGGGAATAAAATATTAAACGTTTTAAATATTAAAAGGATTAGTCGGCTTTGCCCGGTCCCATCGCAATTTAGGCGACAGGGTTGGCAATTTAATCTCTTTGCAAGTTTTAGCTGGTGGCGTTTCTCGTATACTCGGTGTGTCTCTTTCAGCGTGGTTTTTCTTTCTAGGATGGTGGTGGCGTTGTCCGTAACCCTTGGGCTGTTTGTGGTGGAGCTGGCCGGCTTCCTCTCCGGAGTGTCCATGTTCAACAACGTGCAAAGTCTGCTTTGTATCCTTCGCAAAGAAAATGGGGATCAGCAGACGGGGTGGGCTGGGGTGGGCAGAGAGAATTCCCTTCCTTCCTTCCTTCCTTCCTTCCTCCCCTCCCCTCTCTTCCCCCTCCTTCCTTCCTCCCTCCCTTCCTGCCTGCCTGCCGCTGAGCCCCAGACCAAGATGGGTTCGTAGCACTGTTGCCAAGTGCCAAAGCCAGCCGTGTCCCTCCAGAGCAGGGTGGGTGGGTTTGCCTTTCGTGGTCGTTGTGCTCCCTGACCAAGCCTCCTCCTCTTTGCAAGCCACCCTCGCTCACGCTTCGGCAGGCGTCACGTTGCTCTTCTTCCTGTTTGAGCAGTGGGATGGCAGCTTATACTGGTGGATCTTTGCCTTTTGCAGGTTGGCTGTGATCATCCCCGGAGTCCCAGGCTAGCAAAATGACGGGCTGTGGGAGGGGGCCCAAAGGAGCTGGTCAATTTATTTATTTAACCATATATATTCCATCCTCCCCCCTAAAAAAAAATAAAAGAGGGAGTGGCAGAAAATGACCACAGTATTCATACAACAAGTTCCATTAAGTCAAATAATTGTGGCCCTGCACGTCACAGAGACACAACCTTTGGATATCAGGATATCTGGACCAGGCCTTTAGGATATCCCAAGTTTGACCTTTGCAGTGTGACTAATCTCTATTTTTGAAGACTTTTCCTTTGCCCCCATCCCTCCACCCCGTCCCCATCCCAAACACACTCTACAATGTCCCAGGAGTCGTTTCGTGCGAGCGGCTGAGATTGGTGGACCTTCTTCCTAGGCAGGCATCCCTTTGTAAACTTCATTTTACACAAATCCCTCCATTGATTTCCCTGACGGTGCCCTGTTAGCGTTGGTTGCCCACTGCAGCGCCTCCATCTGCCTCTCATTCTTCGTCTTTGAGCGTTGGGAGACGGTCACTTACTGGTACATCATGGGGTTTTGCAGGTAGAGGCCTGTCCCCGCGCGGTCGCCAATTTGCTGGTGGTGGTTTGGGGGTTCGCCCAATTCAGGAAGAGGGACGCTCTTCTTCGGGGTACTGATCCTTCCCCTCTCTTTTCGCCCCCTCTGCCCAGTGCCTTACCGGCTGCTGTCGAGATCTTCCTGTTCATCTCCGTCTTCGGACTCAAGAAGAAGCCACTGTGAAAAGGACAACGAGGGCGACGGCCTCTGTCCAGACGAGACCTCTCGTTCGGATTATCCCAGTGCAGAGGGAACTCCAAAAGAGCACGAGATGGAGATCAAATGTCCTTCCCGTAGGACTATCACCTGTCCCTGGTTTTCAACTCCATCTTTGCTCACTCCTCCACGGACAAAAAAGCAGCTGGGTCTTCTGCAGAGCTTGGATTCCTTCCGTGGAAACCTCTTAATAGTGTATCCGTGATGGCATCCTATATTTCATCAAGAGTAGTATTTACTGTGGCAGCTTTCAGATGGAAGCTTCTTGGATGAGAAGCGAAACGTCTTCAAAGAAAAACAAGAACGTCCAGTTGCCTCTTGAAAAAGCACCTTTGGGACTTTAAGATAGATGGACTTCAATTCCCAGAATTCCCCAGATTACCTACTTATCTTCTCCCTTCCTTCCTTCCTTCCTCTATTTCCCTTCCCTCCCTCTATTCCTTCCTTCCTTCCTCTATTACCCTTCCCTCCCTCTATTCTTTTCTTCCTTCCTTCCTTCCTTCCTTCCTTCCTTCCTTCCTTCCTTCCTCTATTGCCCTTCCCTCCCTCTATTCCTTCCTTCCTTCCTTC